GACAAGTTTAAGTAAGACATGGTCCTTCTAGGGAGAGACACACACAGAGACAAAAGCAATGATCACACGGTGCAGCTGATGCTATAATTAATTACAAGAGGGAAAGGGAATGCGGAGGACTGGCTATCTTTTTCTTTTATTTCAAAAGTGACTCATCTCTGTTGGGCTTTCTTTTTCTTTTTCTCTTCCTTTTCTTTTCTTTTCTTTTTCCTCCCTCCCTCCCTTTCTTTCTTTCTTTCTTTCTTTCTTTCTTTCTTTCTTTCTTTCTTTCCTTCCTTCCTTCCTTCCTTCCTTCCTTCCTTCCTTCCTTTCTTGTTGGAGAGCCAACTGATGTTCTGCTGAATTAGTGCTGTCCCATTTTGTGAGCTTAATGAATAATAAGAGTTATCTTAAGGAAGGCCTTATAAAGAAATTCACCTTCTTTCTCCCCAAATATAAAAACTTAGTACTTAGTAAAGAAGTGGTAAGACTTAGTGATTAGTCATTATTTTTAGGTGATCCAGTAGGTTTATTACAAAGTTCGTTGTAAAGCACTGTGAAACACTAGGTTAAGGCATAACTGTTACTATCATCTCTATCGCGTATGGTCAGTCAGTGGGGACTTCGTTATGGCTCAGATTTCCGTATTTCCCCAAATAATGCAGGAGACATTTTGTTGCCATGCCTTAGGCTCCGAAACTCTGGGAGGAGAAGCTCTGTGGCCTTTCCGCCCCTGATCTGTCCCCAATCACCTGCTTGTTGCCTTCCAACCAGAGCTGTGCAGGAGGTGACGGGACAGAGAGGCATTGTCATCACCCGCTCCACGTTCCCCTCTTCTGGCCGCTGGGGAGGCCACTGGCTGGGCGACAACACAGCTGCCTGGGACCAGCTGAAGAAGTCTATCATTGGTGTGTGGGCTTCTCCTTAGGGGCCTCTTCTGGGGGGGAGGGGATCAGGACCCTCGATAAAGGATTCTTGAGGGAGGAGGAGGCAGATCACAAGGCTGCCTCTGACACAGCTATGTTCTCGTTGCAGGCATGATGGAGTTCAGCCTCTTTGGCATATCTTATGTAAGTGTCTTTTGGGTCACTTCTAATCCCCAAGCATGTAGTGACATCTTTCAGAAATCACTAACAGGTTTGTTTTATTCTACCTCGTTTCAGACAGGAGCAGATATTTGTGGGTTCTTTCAAGATGCTGAATATGAGATGTGTGTTCGCTGGATGCAACTGGGGGCCTTTTACCCCTTTTCAAGGAACCACAACACCATTGGGACCAGGGTAGGATGTTAGCTTATAGCTCAAAAGTGTTGTGTCACTAGGAATACAACCTCCAGATCTGAGCTATATTCTCTGTGACATCTTCAAAACCATCAAACCACATGTTTCTTGTTCTTTTATTTGATACATTTATGAATTGTGAAATGATTACCACAGCAGGATTAGTTAACACCTCTGTCACCTCACATAATTGCCATTCCTTTTTTGTGGTGAGAACATTTAGTATTTACTCTTTTAGCAACTTTCAAGTATATAATATAGTATTGTTAACTATAGTCACCATGCTGTGCATTCGATTATCAGAACATATTCATCTTGTAACTGGAAGTTTGTACCCTTTGACTGATACTTCCCCATTTCTCCCATCTCCCAGCCCCTGATAACCACCGTTCTGCTCTCTAATAGATGTGAGGTGATATCTCATTGTGGTTTTGATGTGCATTTCCCTGATGATGAGTGATGTTGAGCATCTTTTCATGTAGCTTTTGGCGATTTGTATGTCTTCTTTGGAAACTGGAAACCAATAATAGGAGGAAAACTGGAAAACTCACAAATATGTGGAAGTTAAATAACCAATGGGTCAAAGATGAAATTGAGAGAAAAATAAAAAAAAAATATTGAAACAGATAAAAATGGAAACACAACATACCAAAACTTATGGGATGCAGTGAAAGCATTTCTAAGGGGAAGTTTATAGTGATAAACACCTACATTATAAAAAAGAGAGAAAGAACAAAAGATCTCAAATAAACAACCCAACCTTACACCTCAAGGAACTAGCAAAAGAAGAACAAAGTAAGCCCAGAGTAAGCAAAAGAAAGGAAATAACAAAGATCAGAGGAGAAATAAATGACGTAGAGACCAGAAAAACAACAGAAAAGATCAATAAACTAAGAGCTGGTTCTTTGAATAGATAAACAAAATTAACAAACCTTTAGTTAGATTTGCTAAGGAAAAAAGAGAGAAGGCTCATATAAAGAAAAGTATAAATGAAAAAGGGAGACATTAGAACCGATACCACAGAAATGCAAAGGATCACAAGAGACTACAATTATAAACTAACAAATTGGACAACCTAGAAGAAATGAAGAAATTCCTAGGAACATACAACCTACCAAGACTGAAACATGAAGAAATAGAAAAGTCTAACAGATAAATACTGAATAAGGAGATTGAACTAGTAATCAAGAATTCCCCAACAAAGAAAAGCCCAGGACCAGATGTTTTCCCTGGTGAATTGTACCAAAAATTTGAAAAGAATCAACACCAAGACCTCCTTAAACACTTCCAAAAAGTTGAAGGGGAGGGAGCACTCCCAAGCTTATTTCACAAGATCAGTATTACCCTGATACTAAAGCCAAATAAGGACCCTACAAGGAAACTAGAGATCAGTATCCCTTGTGAATATTGTGAATATAGATCAAAAAATTTGCAATAAAATATTACCACTAAATTCAACACATTGAAAAAAATCATACACCATGATCAAATGAGATTTGACTTCAGATGTGAGGATGATTCAACATACACAAATAAATAAGTGTGGTACACTACATTAATAGAATGAAAGATAAAAATCATATGATAATCTTGTATGTGCAGAAAAAAAATTGACAAAACATAGCCTCCTTCCATGATGAAAACTCTCAACAAATTGAGGATAGAAAGAATGTACCTCAATATTATAAAGGCCACATGCGACAAGTCCACAGCTAATATCATGCTCAAAGGTGGAAGCTTGAAAGTATTTCCTCTAAGATGAGACGTAAGACAAGTGCCCACTCTCAGTACTCCTGTTTAACATAGTACTGGAAGTCCTAACCAGAACAGTCGGGCAAGAAAAAGAAATGAAAGGCATTTAAATCAGAAAGGAAGTAAAATTGTCTCTGTTTACAGTTCATATGACCTTATATATAGAAAATCCTAAAGATATCATAAAAAATTACTAGACTGAATCAATTCAGTAAAGTTGCAGAATACAAAATCAACATACAGGCATAAGTTGTGTTTCTGTACACTGACAGCAAGATATCTGAAAAAGAAATAAAGCAATGCCACTCATAGTAGCATCAAAAATCAATAAGATACTTAGTAATAAATTTAACCAAGGAGGTGAAAGATCTATATGATGAAAACTATAGGACATAACGTGAAAGAAATTGAAGAATACACAAACAAATGGAAAGATATTCCATGTTCATGGATTAGAATTAACATTGTTACAATGTCCATACTATCCCCAAACCATTTAAAGGTTCAATGCAATCAATATCAAAATTCCAATAGCATTTTTCACAGAAATAGAAAAAACAATCCTAAAATTCATATGAAACTACAAAAGACCCCAAAGAGCTAAGGCAATCCTGAGAAAGAAGAACAAAGCTGGAGGTATCATGCTTCCTGATTTCAAACTATATTACAAAGTTATAGTAATCAAAATAGTATGTTAGTGGCCTAAAAATAGATCAATGGAACAGAATCAAAAGCACAGAAATAAACCTTTGCATATACTATGAACTAACATTTGACAAGGGAGCCAAGAATACTCAACGGAGAGAAGAGTCTCTTCAATAAATACTGTTGGGAAACTAGATAATCACATGCCAAAGAATGAAATGGGAGCCCCGTCTTATACCACTCACAAAAATTAACTCAAAATGATTAGTCATTTAAATGTAGGACTTGAAACTGTAAAAATTTTAGAGGAAAACAGGGGAAAAGCCCCTTGACATTGTTCTTGTCAATGATTTTTTTGGATATGACACCAGAAGCACAAATAACGAAAGTAAAAATAAGTAAGTAGGACTACATCAAACTCAAAAGCTTCTGCACAGCAAAAGAAACAATTAACTATAATTGGCTAATTGAACATAATGAAAAAAAGAAACTATTAACAAAATGAAAAGGCAACCTATGGAATGGGAGAAAATATTTGCAAACCAAATTATCTATCTATCTATCTATCTATCAATCATCTATCTATCTATCTATCTATCTATCTATCATCTATCTATCTATCTGATAAGGAGTTAATATCCAAAATATATAAGGCACTCATTCAAAGCAATAGCAAAAACCCACAATCTGATTTAAAAATGGGTAGATGAACCACATAGACATTTTTCCAAGAAGACATACCCATGGCTAACAGGTACATGGAAAGTTTCTCATGTTTCAGTGAACCAGATTCCTCAGTGTTCTTTAGATTCTTTTGTTTGTTTAGGCTGTGTTGTACCAAATATATCCCAAAAAGAATGTCTTATGGAGAAATTTCATCAGCTATCTTGGGAAAGCTTGAGTGACTTTCAGTATATTAAGAATATTCTCAGGCTCATTTATAATCAACTCTGGTTTAGCTATGCATGATCTTCGTTTGTAATAAGAATTCAGTGACTTCCTTAAGTTTCCAGGTCCCTGAGGTAAGCTCTGAATACTCTTCTTTTCTCCTTTAGAGACAAGACCCTGTGTCCTGGGATGCTGCGTTTGTGAATATCTCCAAAAGTGTGCTGCTGACCAGATACACCCTGTTGCCGTATCTCTACACCCTGATGCACATGGCCCACACGGAGGGCAGCACCGTCGTGCGGCCTCTTTTCCATGAGTGAGTGTCTAGCTGTGATCCCAGTGACTAAGGGATAATATCGTTCTGTGTGATGGCTTTTGAAAAAAAAAAAGTACTTCCAAATTAAATTAAAGACATGATTGCCCTTTGCCAGAAGCTTTCTGGGCACAGACCGTATGTTATAACTCCTTTTAGCACAGCATCAGTCATGTCCTAGGTCCTCGATAAAAGGCTACTGAATGAAAAAAATTCAAAGTGATTACAATATAGCACGGAATACTTTCTTCCTAAATTGGGCATATGAAGAGCTGCTGATCTTTTGTAGCAGCTCAGGTCACAAAACGAGGCCAGATGTGAGGGATGGAGATGAGGGCTGAAGGCCATTCTCGCATTTAAAACATGCCATGGTTAAGAAACATGAAGATATGTATAGGTGAGAACATCTCTAAATCCAACCATTTCTGGGGTTTGAAGAACATGACAGACAGAAAGGAAGTATGTATCTGATTAAAGGAGACCTAGGGAAAGAGTTAAAGGAAGGCCTAGAATGCAGCTGGATTTCTGACTTCGGTCTGAACTTGAGGAGTTTTTTCAGGGTCTGGGCCTCAGGCCCTGTTGGGGTCCTGATTGTGGTACCTTGGTTTCTCTTTACAGATTTTTGTCAGACCGGGTGACCTGGGATGTAGACGGCCAGTTTCTGCTGGGCCCAGCCTTCCTGGTCAGCCCTGTCCTGGAGCCTGTGAGTATGGAGGCCTCTGATGAAGAGAGAATTAGAGCTATGAGGCCCGGGGCCTAGAGGTAGCAGAAGAGGCCTGGTCTGCTGGGGATCCTGGGATGTGATCTCTTACTCTACTTCTGTCTCTTCCTCTCCCTCTGAGCTGAAGTCTGTCACTTAGGTGCTCTGGTCCTCTGCTCCCTCATCTTTAAAATCAGCATAACAAATTCTGATTCGTAGGATAATCAAGAAGGAAAGAACCTTATATTTCAAGATAGAATAATTTCTTTATTAACTAAAATAAGGAGTATGGGTCAGAAACAAATTTTACAGGATTGTTTATACCAATGTGTATAATCTTGTTTCTGGCTAGCACTTCCCCTCCTTCTATAATATGTTCTCATGCAGGAAAATCCATTTCTTCACTCTTTCTGTTGATGTATAGGCTTCTGATTAAAATACCAGCTAATTGCATCCTCTCCAAAACTTACTGCACTAATCATAATCCCTGAGGTACTGGCGCCATAAAATCTGCAAACTTTTCCTCTGCTCCAGACCCAACCTGAGTCTGTCTCTTTAGAGAGGGCGTGAGTCTATAAGCAAATGATGATTTTTTTTCCCCCAAAGTCCTGATCCCAAAGGGCTTTAGGGAAACTGTTACTTTTGGGTAGGCGAATCTTCCATTTGCCAAAAGGGTAGGGAAGAAAGGCTTCCCTAACATTGCTGGCCTCTAAAAAGATGAGCATGTGGGTCCAAGGCCGATACTACTGTTTTGGCTCTTTTACTGTACAAATTGGTTACACTGCTCTGGATAGACGAGCCTACCTCCCAAGCCTTGTTTGTGTTTAATTTTAGAATGCCAGAAATGTCACTGCGTATTTCCCTAGAGCCCGCTGGTATGATTACTACACGGTAAGTTTTTCTGATGATTTATACAACTTGGGAAAATGGTGGTGTGCACGGGCTTCCAAATCTGACACCCCACTGGTCAGGTTCTGGCACTGTGACTCATTTGATGTGTGATCTTAGACAAGTCATTTCAACCTTATAGCCTTAAGTTTATTCACCTCTAAGTAGGATAAGAGCACTTCCCTCACAGAATTGTTATAAAATAACGTATTTTGTGAGTGTTACGTATGTGTTAGTTTTTATCTTTCACAATGGCATATAATGGCAACACCAGTAAACACTTGAAATTGTATAGTAAACTAGAGTTTTTGTTCATATCATCCCTCACGAGACTGTAAGTTCATATGTAGAGGGGCCTTTCCCCTCTGTCTTTTTATTAAATATCTCCTTTTATAGCACAGATGCTCCAGGAGGAGATGTTAAATGTAATCTCCTGAGGTAAGCCTGGTCTTAGGCGGTGTGTAAAATGCACTCGGAGGTATGAGACCCAACCCTTGTGTGCCAGAGCAACACAAGTGCATTTCGAAATGCAAGACGAATCATCATTGTCTGTCCTAGAACATTCGAGTCTAGTCTGAGCCCCAGAGACTCAGCTGGAAAAACAGGGCCTTTCAAAGCAACCTCAAGGCCATGTACTCTTATAGGGACACAAGTCAGGCTTTGATTCTTGAGGAAGAATCAAAGGAGGTGTTTCCTCTCCCTATAACCAAACCTACTCTTCCAACTTTTCTGAGGAGAGCAAAGCAGAGGACTCGAAATACAGGAAAAGGAGGACAAGAAGCAGAGCATACTCTGGCCCTTTCAGTCAGTGGGTTTGCGATGGGATTAGGTGAAAACCAGACAGGGACAATGGAAATCTTGTTCCTCCTCTGTCTAAGGGAGCCCTGAGTCCTTCCCTGGCACCTTCTTCTTTCCATCCCGCCACCCCTTTTATTTTTGCTGGGCTGGATCTGTCCTCTGGAGGCTCTCGTTAAAACTCTGCTATGTGCTTCCCAACCAGAGCTTTCCAGGAGGGGGCAGCCAACTGTTTTTAAGTTACCTAGCCTTGTTCCTGAATTTGCATGTTGACTGCTCCATTCACTCCCAGTCAATGATTCTGAGTACACTGAGATTCCCTGGAGCAGGGCCAGCACTAGGGTGCAGTAAGTGAGGTGCCTGGGCATGCAGTTTAAAGAGGTACTCCTTCCTGGGCCTGAGCTGGCATTTATGCATGACCCTGAGAGCGAGCACTGCCTTAAACTATGCCCCCTGGGCACCTCACTTGTCTCACTCTTGTCCCATCCTGGCCCAGGTGCAGGCTACCTTTCTGAACTCCGGGTGTTGGAATACTGCAACAGTTTCCCCATAGAGTTCGCCATCGAACCTGGAGCTGATATCTGCATGTCGTGAACACTAATGCTTATGTACATAATTGTGTGCACTACATGAAAGAAAGGGAAGCGAGAGGGCTTGTAAAGAAAAGTGTCCTGAAGATTGCTGATTTTATACATGGTTTTTAAACAGAAGAGCTTTGGTTGAGGAAGGAAGGAAAAAAAAATCACGTAGGAAGCCTCAAGTTGATGGAGCAAGCCATTTAGAAAACAATTAAGTCTTGCTGTTAAATTGAAATGAAGATTCCGTGGTTGGGATTAGTGGAGTAGTGACTCCTTGATTAATTTTCACATGTTTGGGTACCTATTTTTGTACAAGAACAGAGGTTGTCAAACTATCACCCACAGCCACATCGGATTCATATGTTTTTTATAAATAAAGTTTTATTGGAACACAGTCATGAGCATTTGTTTACTTATTGTTAACAACAACGTGCTCACAATACAACAGCAGAGTGGAGTAGTTTCACCAGAGGCCATCTGGCCTGCAAAGCCTAAAATATTTACTATCTGGTCCTTTTTAGATAAAGTTTGCCGATTCTAGTTCTAGAGGATATACATACAGCATGAGACCTAGTCTACCATCTGATCATGTGAAAAGGAACAATTTCATTATTCAGTATAAGGAATACTGTGGAATATTAAAACATGGTGTCAAAATTTAGAAGAAGAAGAGATACAGATGTACTGGTTAAAGGATGGAAGACACCAGGGGGACTATAAGATTGGAAAGGTACCATGAAAGATATATAATGTGTCAAAAATACATTAGAAAAGTAGAGCTATCTCCTCTGGTAAAAATCCAGAAGGACAAGCATTGGAAAATGGAAAGGAAAGTAAAATTCACCATGTTGCCTATCTCTCAGTCCCTGTTAGCAGTCTGTTATATACTTGTGCTGATAAAAATTTGTGCATAGATTAGCATATGTGTATTCTTTTTTATTTACACAAATAGTATCTTGCTGTACATACTATTAGGCTCCTTGGTTAATTCACTTAATAATATATCTTGAAGATCTTTGTATATCAAAGAACTTTGAACTTGAACTCTTTGAACTTGAAGCTCTTCCCATTTTTTTTTTTTTTTTTAGCAACTGTATTATATTCCATTGTATAGAATTATTTAGCAAACCACTTCTATGATGGACATTTAAGATTTAGGTTTGCCTGTTTTCTTTTTATATGTCATGGTACAAGGCTGCAGGAAACACCATTTTATGTTTATCTCTGTATAAGCTTTTGTTGGTAGAATTTCTTGGATTTAAACATTTGACAGATACTAGCCAGATTGCTTTCCAAAAAGGTTTGATCAGCACCCAGTCCCACTGACAGTCCATCAACAGTAAAGTAGATAAATAGATTGTATTCTATTTTTTAAAACTAATATTATAGATTAATGTAAGTACTGAACTATTGCTACACAAGTAAAAATGATGAACATCACAAACATAATATTGAGTGCAAGTAGCCTGAAACAACAGAGTTAAAACATGTATGACGTGTAAGTTCAAAAGCAGGCAAAAGTGATAGACGGCAGAATCGTAGCTGCCTTCAGTGTGGTGATTATTATGAGAGAGAATGAGAGAGTCTCTGGGGGGCAGTAATACTCACTTCTTGATCTCGTTGGCGTTCGTTTACCGGTTTTTGGAGTTCACTCGACTTTGGAGTCCTGAGGCAGGCCCATGAAGCAGAGTCCACCCCAGGGAGTGTGGCAACAGTCACTGGGCTTCCTTCTGACCACCCACCCCTACGGTTCATACAGGCAGACTGTGGCCAAGATGAACATAAGGGACCAAAGTAGAGGAATGTTATGGTAGCTTTCCTCCTTCCCTTTAAAGTAGCGATTATCAAATGGGTGAATTTAGCCTACCAGGAGACATTTGGCAATGTCTGGAGACTTTTTGGTTGTCACATGTGGTGGGCAAGGCCGGGGGAGGTGCTACTGGCATCTAGGGGATAGGCAAGGGTGAGCATCCCCAAAACACAGGACAGCCCCCATGACAAAGAATTATCTGGTCCCAAATGTCCACACTGCTGGAGCTGGGAAGCCCTGCCTTGGGTTGAAGAAATGTGGAAGGCTGGTTTCTTAGAAACTGTCACACAGGAGGCAAGAGAAAGATGTTAAACATAAAGGAAGTTGTAGTGAGTTAAAGGTAAGGATTTGTAAAGTAAGTCAGCTCATTTTAATTCTTTCTGTCAAGTAGGAGTCAAGGCTTTAGTGAAGTTGGTGGGAGTGGGGAATGGGGGCAGTGAAAGGAGACGGAGCAGAGACAAAGTGAGAGAAGGTCTAGAAATGCCATTTCAGGGTGTGTATCACGAGGCAACAAGGAATAAAGAAAAGGCTTGCTCAACCTCCTGCAGCACTGCTCTCTGACACAGAAACAGGATGTAGAATGAGGGTAGGCTGAGAGCCACACTACGATCTCATGTAGTATGTACAGTAGAAACCCCAGAAGACAAGGGGTGCTGACATGATGTTGTAGCAGCATCGTGAGAGTCCACACAGTAGCTGAGTGAGCGTGGAGACGTGTAATAACAGCTGTGTGCTGAGGGGTCATGGACGGGCACCAAGTCCAGAAGAGTGGACAAGGTGTCTAGTAAATGCGTTGTTCAGTGAGGTGTGTTCTCATCCTGTCTTACCTTCTTCTGGCCCACAGGGTGTGGACATTGGAGCAAGGGGAGAGTGGAGGTCCTTGGCGGCCCCTCTTGACCACATTAATCTTCATGTCCGTGGGGGCTACATCCTGCCCTGGCAAGAGCCCGCACAGAACACCCACTTAAGGTGAATGACAAGGGACAAGGCTTCTCCTTTACCTGCCAGTTAGCTCAGATCCTGATGAAGCCTGCCAGTTTGTAAGCAGAGCCCTCAGACCCCAAAGGAATTTTACTACAGATTTTTGTTTGTTGGCTTGTTTGTGTTTTAAACTTTTTCAGACTTTGCGCTCTTTGAATAGTTATTAACAGATTTTAGATTTAAGTGGGTGAGATGATAGGTCTAATTGATCACACTTGAAATGGAAGTCAAACAAGGAGCAACTCAATTCATACTAGTTTTAGAAGACTCTCTGGATCTTAATTGACTCTGCTAAGAAAACCATTGCTGAAAAATTGTGTAAGCTGCATTGCAATTGATGCTTGAGGCTGAGATTCCTCACATACAGGACTTTAGAATTCTAGACCTAAGTCTATATAATAATTAATAATAGCTAACATCAAGTGAATGCTTGCTGTGTGCCTAGAACTATACTAATATGGAGGTTTCTATTTGGAAATTATTTATTTTTCTTAACAAAAGGGAAAAATAAACTCTGTGATGTAAATATGATTATCCCCATTTCACAGACAAGCAAAGAGTCTTCAAGTGGTCGTAAGTAGTTGAGCAGGGGCTAAAATCCATGTCTGTCTGACGTCCAACTAAAATTCTTAGAGCCATACTCACTTGATTAAAAAAATTCAGTTAAAAACTTGAAGAACTTTGGACATTTGTAAACAAAGCTCACTCTACACGTGCTTAGGAAATTAGGTCATGAAAAAAGAAAGATCACATCAGGATTTTTCTCACAGAACCAGTGAGTTTGCTTGTAGTTTCTTATAATACTTTTAGAGCACTTATAGACCTGCAGAGCCTTAAAGGAAAATTCTCCTAATTCATTCATTCATCCATTCATTCATTCATTCCTGACCTGAAATCAGAACTAGAACTAGATCACAAGTCTCTTGAATCCTAGTACCCAGTCTTTATACCATGAAGCACTTCCATTATGTTTCTATGAAAACCCTTGGTTTGTGGTAGTGGTTTTGTTTTTAGCTAATTGATCTTTCCTACCTCATTGCAGCCGTCAGAAATTCATAGGCTTCAAGGTTGCCTTGGATGATGAGGGGACTGCTAATGGCTGGCTCTTCTGGGATGATGGGCAAAGCATTGGTGAGTAGGGTTGCCCTGGATTCGTGTCAATACCACTGACTAAGAGACAGGCCTGCTTTTTATCTTTTCCACATTAAAACAGTTCTGCATTCTTAAACATAGCCATTTGTTATTTCAAGTGCACAATACCTATTGTATATGATCCTTATGCCTCATGCAAATGAAACGTAGCTCTGAATCTCTCACCATTACCCAACTATACTAATTCACTGTGTGAGACAGCAGCACAGAAGCCAATGGGAAAGTTTCTTAGTAGCCACCTGAGATATACTTCTATATGCTTTATGTTCAAGGGCACATTCTCTAATCACATGGTTTACTGTCCCAATAAGAAAGGCAATGCCTCTGTCATCTGTGCTATTTATTTGAGGGGATTTTCCACTAGGAGTTTACAGGAACTGGTAAACTCTTGGGAGGAAGGCTTACATTCCATTAGCTATGTCTAAGCTGATGCTGTCCAGTGCAGTGTTGGAAATAGACTATATCTGTGTTGCCCAATATGGTAGCCATTGGCCTATGTGACTATTGCATATTTGAAATGTGACAAGTACATCTGAGAAACTGAATTTTTAATTGTAATTAATTGTAATTTAAATAGATACATATTGCTAGTGGCTGCTATCTTGGCCAGCACAGCTCTAGAGGATAGCCAGTGCCCTCTGATTGAGTGGTAAGCAAATTAGAAAGAGATAGAATATGGGGAAGAGTGAGCAAGCCCCAAAGGTAGGAGGTAGGGTGGGGATGCCTATGCTAGACATTAAGGATAAAGGACAAAGAAATCTTTTCTGTGGTTTTCCTTGGTCTCTGGAGACTGCCTTTAAAAAAGGTGCCTCATACCTCTCAAAATAAGCTGACCAAGACACCAGTGTTGATGTTTGTGATTTGGGTGTACATGCACATTTGCACACATATGTGTGCCTCTAGCAGTAGGAATCTAGAAGTTCTGAGGTGACTAGGAAGATGTTGGGAATGGTAGACCATGAGAAAGAGAAGCGGATTAAGAGTGGTGTCAGGAAAATGCATTCTATGAGGTGACTCTGTTAGACAGATGCATCTGTACACACCCATTTCAAACATTTGTGTAAATGGAGTTTGGGGGCAAAGTCTGACTGATCTCACAAAACTCTGTAAAGAAGAAAAGTGAAATGAAAAATAAAAATCACCCCTACTTTCTCAACAAGTAAGCAACTGGAATTTCAGAACACAGCTCCAGATCACGCTTACCTTGTTGCTTGTTTGCAGATACTTATGGAAAAGGACTCTATTACCTGGCCAACTTTTCTGCCAACCAGGTGAGTGTGACTGATACTATGAAGGGAGAACAGAGTTCTGTTGGCTTAGTTAGATGCTGGATATCGTAAGGGCATAAAGTACCGCCGAGAATCCCTTCCCTGCCCTTCTTGTTAATTTGCATCCTTCCCTTCCTATAGACTTCAGAAGGAAATTTAGTATGCTCTCTGGAAGTTTTCTGTGATTAAACCAATTTATATTTCATCAGTAATTTCTTCCAGTTCACCAAGGTGCAGACAGACAGATTGTTTTTATGTTATCTAGCCCTTGTTCCTGTGTTGCCTTGGAATGGTCTGCACAGTGACATCTCTACATGTAGAACAGAAGGTTCCTGATACCTGAGACTCTTTGTCTCCTTAGAGTTCAGGGTGAGTCTAGAGACACTGCCGGTGCTTAGCCAATGCAAAATTGGATGATAGTTGGAAGCAGGAGATAGAGGGATGAAATCATGGTCTGCATTATTCAAGGGCACAAGATGGTGACTCTCATATTGTCTTACTTCATGATCTGCATTTGTGTCTAAAAAGTTTGGGAAAATTTAAATGGATTTTGTTTATGTTTCCCCTCCCCCCGGTTTCTTTTTATTTCCAATTGATAGAACATGATGCAGAGTCATATAATTTTCAACAAATACATCACTGATTCAAACCCACTGAAACTGGGCTACGTTGAGATCTGGGGAGTGGGCAGTGTTCCCATTTCCAGTGTCAGCATCTCAGTGAGCAGCATGGTGATAACGCCAAACTTCACTAACGACCCTGTGATACAGGTTTGTGACCAGTGAAAAGTCCCGGTGGTATTTACCGGTCCAGTGCTAGGGCAGTTCCTGGCCACCTCCCTTCCAAATGATAGCTTTTCCTGCAGAGCACTTCAGGAAGCTCTCTGTGTTCCGTGTGCCAACAGTGGACAGCATGGAGGAGAAGGGAAAATTCCTGACTTATCATCATTTGGAATTGAGGGTCTGGATCCTTGCTTTTTCTTGTCTGCAAATTTATATAAAACTTTGTCTTTACTCCTTCACCTCGCCTCAGAGATCTACTTCCCAAACAGCTCAAACTACCATATTCCATCAAATATCACACCATCAGTTAAAGTTGCCCCATTATTCCATGTGCCACAAAGAAGGAAAAAAGGATTACAAAGTATGATACAATGCTTCATAGCATTTAAAATTTCTACTTTCAACACAGAGAGCTTTGCAAGCTTTCTTTAAATGAAGATTTATATCATTTCAATGTTAGTGATAATACAGAGGAAAATATTGGGTAGAGACATATGAACATTGATAAATCTGCATCAAAGTAATTTAGATGAGGTAGACTCTGAATGTGAAAAAATATTAGAAGTGCCTCCATAATTTCAAAAACCACTTGGGTGGTTCAGTGGGTTAAGCATCTGCTCAGGTTATGATCCCAGGGTCCTAGGCCACACGTCGGGCTCCCTGCACAGCAAGGAGTCTGCTTCTCCCTTTGTCTCTCCCCCTCCCCCTGCTCATGCTCTCTCTCTCATTCTCTCTCTCTCTAATAAATAAATAAAATCTTTTTTTTAAGAAAGAAAGAAATGCCTTAACCAATTCGTATCACAGATTTTTCTTTTATTATTCAAAATTTTATGTAAATATTATAAATTATTTTGTTGTTTATTATTTAAAAGAGAAATATGTGGCATGAATGGGCTAAGGTATTTCCTCTGTGCTATCAGAGGCATTGGTGATATATCATTTCATAAAAATTCTTTCACTAGCATCATGGGATTTTCTCAAATGTAGCAAATGCTTTATACAAGTTTTCATCCTAGCACTTTTTTGATCTTACTATCAGCCAGGATTCCTATTCTTTCCTAAAATAATCCTTAAGTGGTTTGTAGTCTATCCATTCATAATACCAATAACAGCAATGAAGTTCATGCATGCACAGACAATAGCAATTGTCATGAATGCTGCTTGGCTCACAGTAATTCTAAGGCTGTTGACTGCAAGACACGTTCTGATTTCGTGGATGTTAAGTGTGGAAAATCCTGGCCCCTTGGGATCAATGCAGTGTGGCATTTCCAACACCTATCCTCATGGTAAACAGATCTTTCTGGGTGTGCTTGCTTCTTCCTTTTTCCTGGACTGTTTTTCTTTCATAATTCTTTCTGATTATAAGGCCTGAAACAAAAGTTCTCCTTATGTATTTTTTTTAACTCGTTTCCTCATATTTGTGGCTTTCTTGTCAACCAACTTCCCCAACTTTACCAAGAGCTCCTAAAGGACTTTGCCCATTTTTGTTGCTGACCGACTCCTGCACTGTCACACTAGCTGATGTGATGGCCACCCGCAGTGACATTTTATGGAAAGCATTTGCCTAGAAAAAAAGCTGAACTGTTGAACTTTCACTGGGCAATCACCATGTCACTATGGGGGAACAGGAAAAGGAGGAAGTCAAAGGAGAGTTCTGAGGATTGGAAATGAAGACATCTTCTCCAATTTTCTGTGCAGTTGTTTCTCTGCAGTGGTTGCGATTGCATTATTTAGGGCCTGTTGTCTTTTCCCTGTCACTGAACAAGCTTTGTACTGTAAGGAATCCAAAAACAGCCTCCTCACCTGAAAACTTGAGGGCTGCCTTACAGCTAGGCAATGAATTGTGAAAGTAGCAGAGTGCATGTGGACCTTTGGCTTGTATCTGATTTGTATGAGTGCAGGAAATTTCAATTACTGGATGCCCACTCCTTTTCCTTTGGTTCCCAACAGGTGTTAAGCATTGACGTGACCAGCAGAGACATCAGCCTCCATAATTTCATTTCACTAACGTGGAGAAGCACTCTGTGAATTTTTAGAGAAAGATCTTAATTACAAACAGCTTTGGAACTACTTATATCTTATGCTTATAAAATTATTGTGTGTTGTTAATTCATTCATGCTCAGTATGGGTAAAGTATTTTGTTAATTTTGTCATATATTTTGTCTGTGTCTTGGCCCTGTGGTATGGGCCATAGGGAAATGTGAGAAATCGATGGGTTGTTTTCCTATCTCTGTGTGATGAACATGGTACTGATGGCTCCTCATATAATATCTACTGAAGATGAACTGGGTCCACGATGAAGGGGTGTGAGTGTGGGTGGGTGTGTAATCAGGGAATGGGCCCCACTCTTGCTAAATACACAAGAAAAAGCTTGCCAGGACAGTTCCAGGTCTGGGGGTTGACTAATGCCTCAAGAAGGTATTCAGAAAGAACATCTGCTAGTTGGTTTTAGGGAGAGGGGAGCAATAGGCTGAGAGCATGATACAAGGGGAAAGCGGGGAAACACAGGAAAGGTTAGCAGGAAAGATGAGAGGAAACAGAAGATGGTGATAAAAATGATCATGACAAGTAAGAAGAAAACACAAAAATCTAAGGAATAGTAGCCTCATGGGAAGGAGACAAGAAGGGCCAACTCAGGTGAATGCAAGAAGACAGGTGGGGGAATACAGAATATGGGAATAGAGGTGAGGATGAGATTGAAGCAGGCAAAACTAAAGGAAGGAATTTGAATGTAAAAAATGTAACTTATTTTTGCAGTGCTGTGCTTCAAAATGTGTAAATCTTATTTCTTTGCTCTGTGCCTAACATGTATAACCATAGTTCACACAAATGCAGGCAACTTAAATGCCAGAGAAAAATAAAACAAGCAAATTTACAAGAGATTTTGAATTTTATGGTATTTTTATCCTGGGTAACCTACCTTTGGGGTTAAGGCTTCTTGTTGGGAAAACCCTTGTAAGTTTGTCTTGTTGTCTTTGGCATCAGAGTTCTTGCGGTCTAACCCACGGATGGAACAATCAGATTTATGATTATCCACCCTTTCTCTCACACCTCTGGCATGGGTTTTTCTTAAGATTCAGGTTTGTGGAAGCCTGTACTTGGGTGGTGGTGGTTGTTTTACTCATTGTAGCAACTGGCAAAATGTCTGATAAAATGTCACCTGGCAAAAACAGAATTTGCATCACGATTGGTTAAAACCTGAAATGGTTAAGATTTGGGATAAAGAAATGACTTATTAGTGTTCAACATGCATATTTACTTTTAGTATTCCTTGAATAATGAGTGTATTGGAAACAAGTGTATATACTTCCCTAAGTCTTTTTCTTTCTTTTTTAAACACCAGGAATGCATACTATTTTAAATAAATCTGATTATATTAAAATACATTTACATGAATATTTTAAAAATTTAATATAGTAACACATGAGGCATTTTTTTTCTGTACCATTCCTATGTTCTTTTCTTTTTTCTAATTTTTTTATTGTTATTACTATATCTTTTTTTTTAAGTCTCATGCTTTTTTTTTTATTATGTTATGTAGTCACCATCTAGTACATCATTAGTTTTTGATGTAGTGTTCCATGATTCATTGTTTGCGTATAACACCCAGCACATGAGGCATTTTTAATGATCACATTAAATGATTAAGATCTAGCAGTGGGCTTCATAGTGTCATAATTTCCATTGATGATCAGCATAAACAATATTTTGAGATATCTACTATAGTTTTCATAATGTGATATGAAAATATCTGTGATTCTATTTTTGAGAGACTCATGTGTACTGCTAACATGACTATGCTCTGCTATCTACATTTATAATCTAAGAAAATGCTAAATTTCAGTTAGAAATTAGTGAACAAAGAAGTATTTTTCCCAGCAGTATTTGCAGATTCCTTAAGTTATACTCCTTGGAGCTCTGGGGATCCTAATTCAAGAATTCCTAGATTAAGACATGTCTGCTTCCCAGACTTCAGTTTAGTGACTGGGTCCCTATGTAGCTGTAATAGTTTTAAGAGTTCCCAAGCCTCAGTCAGTCACCTGTCTTGAATTCATTCATCCTTTTGACTTTTAAACAGCCAGTTTCTTATGGACATGAAGACTTTCCATGTAAGACTGAAAAGATTCTTAGCAGCTCTGGGAAGAGTGTCAGTGAAGGACTTGGGTATGTGGCTCCCTTAGTTTCTTTTTCTGAGCAGAGCTGTCCTCCAAGTATATGGTTGCATCCTGCCTTTCCCCATCACATATGTTTGGTCTACTGGTTGAGCATTTTCTGCTGCTTTCATTTGAATGAAAAGAACTCAGAAGGAATCTTTAGGGTCAGGGACTTGGTTAAGTCACTTTGTCACTCTGGGATCATGCCTCCTCATCTGCAAACTTCTAGTGTTAGAGAAAAGCTGTGATATCCAAACTCTGGAAAGGGGCTCTGCAGTGCTCTCTGGGAGAGGGAAGAAGGCGGATTGGCAGGGATCTGAGCTCCCCACCCTGGCTTCAGTCATTTACTCAGTTACATACTGGAATTCTATTTGAATAAAGAATTTTAGATACAGAGACTGTATCTAATCGAATCTAATCTAATCTAAAAAACTCATTTTTTCCATTGGATATTCTTTCCTGCTTTGTCGAAGGTTAGTTGACCATAGAGTTGAGGGTCCATTTCTGGGTTCTCTGTTCTGTTCCATTGGTCTATGTGTCTGTTTTTGTGCCAGTACCATGCTGTCTTGATGATCACAGCTTATTATAATATAGCTTGAAGTCAGGCATTGTGATGCCACCAACTTTGGTTTCTTTTTCAACATTTCCCTGGCTATCCGGGGTCTTTTCTGATTCCATACAAATTTTAGGATTGTTTATTCCAGCTCTGCAAAAAATGTCAGTGGTATTTTGATAGGGATTGCTTTGAATGTGTAGATTGCTCTGGGCAACATAGGCATTTTAACAATGTTTATTCTTCTAATCCATGAGCATAGAGAGTTTTTCCATCTTTCTATGTATTCCTCAATTTCTTTCATAAGTGTTTTGTAGTTTCTAGAATACAGGTCCTTTATCTCTTTGGTTAGGTTTATTCCTAGGTATCTTACGGTTTTTGGTGCAATTGTGAATGGGATCAATTCCTTAATTTCTCTTTCTTCAGTCACATTGTTTGTGTATAGGAATGCCACTGATTTCTGTGCATTGATTTTGTATCCTGCCACGTTGTGAATTGCTGTATGAGTTCTGGCGATTTTGGGGTGGAGTCTTTTGGGTTTTCCACATAAAATATCATGTTATCTGCGAAGAGTGAGAGTTTGATTTCTTTGCCAATGAGACTGGACCATTCTCTTACACCATACACAAAGATAAACTCAAAATGGATGAAAGACCCAAATGTAAGACAGGAATCCATCAAAATCCTAGAGAAGAACACAGGCAGTAACCTCTTTGACCTCGGCTGCAGCAACTTCTTGTAAGACATGTCTCTAAAGGCAAGGGAAACAAAAGCAAAAATGAACTATTGTGACTTCATCAAGATAAAAATCTTCTGCACCACAAGGGAAACAGTCAACAAAACTAAAGACAACCTACAGAATGGGAGAAGATATTTGCAAATGACATAACAGGTAAAGGGCTGGTATCCAAGATCTATAAAGAACTTATCAAACTCAACACCCAAAAAACATATAATCCAGTCAAGAAATGGGCAGAAGACATGAACAGACACTTCTCCAAAGAAAACATACAAATGGCCAACAGACACATGAAAAAATGCTCCACATCGCTTGTCATCAGGGAAATACAAATCAAAACCACAATGAGATACCACCTTATACCAGTTAGAATGGCTAAAATTAACAAGGCAGGGAACAACAAATATTGGTGAGGATATGAAGAAAGGGGAACCCTCTTCCACTGTTGATGGGAATGCAAGCTGGTATAGCCACTCTGGGAAACAGTATGGAGGTTCCTCAGGAAGTTAAAAATAGAGCTACCCTAGAACCCAGCAATTGCACTACTAGATATTTACCCCAAAGATACAGATGCAGTGAAAAGAAGGGGCACCTGTACCCCAATGTTCATAGCAGCTATGTCCACAATAGCCAAACTGTGGAAGGAGCCGAGATGTCCTTCAACAGATGAATGGATAAAGATGTGGTTCATGGAGTGCCTGGGTGGCTCAGTCGGTTAAGCGTCTGCCTTCGGCTTAGGTCATGATCCCAGCATCCTGGGGTTGAGCCCTGCATCAGGCTCCTTGCTCTGAAGGGAGCCCTCTTCTTCCTCTCCTCCCCACTTATACTCTCTCACTGTCTCTCCTTCTCTCTCTCTCTCAAATAAATAAATAAAATCTTTAAAAAAAAAAAAAGATGTGGTTCATATATACAATGGAATATTACTCAGCCATCAGAAAGGATGAATACCTACCATTTACATCTACATGGATGGAATTGGAGGGTATTATGCTAAGTGAAATAAGTCAATCAGAGAAACACAATTACATCATGATTTCACTCACATGTGGAATATAAGGAATAGCGCAGAGGATCATAGGGGAAGGGAGGGAAAACTGAATGCAAAGAAATCAGAGAGGGAGACAAACCATGAGAAACTCTTGACTCTGGGAAACAAACTGAGGGTTGTGGAAAGGGAGGTGGGTGGGGTGATGGGGTAACTGGGTGGTGGGCATTAAGGAGGGCACGTGATGTGATGAGCACTGGGTATTATATGCAACTAACAAATTGTTGAACACTATATCAAAATATAATGATGTACTATATGTTGGCTAATTGAATTTAAATTTAAAAAAGAATTTTAAGTATATATGTAATATACATATACATATATGCTTAATATATAAAAGTCTATATAATATATACACTTAAATTTTTTATTCATGTGGAAGAATGTATATATATCATATACATTTCATATATCATATTTAATTAAGACATCTGAAAATCAGTACACCAAATCAGCAGTTCCACAAATATTTTGGTTCCAGAACGCCTTTATACTCTTAAAAATTTTTGAGGATTCCAAAGCTTTTGTACATGGGGTTATATCGATATTTATCATATTAAAAATTAAAAGAGTTAACTGTACACCCAAAACGAATATTATACATATGTTAACAACTGGAATTTAAATAAAAACTTGGGAAAAAGAATAAGAACAATTACACATGAAGCCATATACACTGTGGCTACCTTGAAGCAGACCTTGTAACATGGACCTACACTTGTAACTCCTGGCCAGCTCTTACGGGAAAGGTTGGAGTCTTTTTGAGATATTCTCTCTCCCCAAGACCACATAATTTCACTTTATCTCTTTGTAGGTATGCCAAAAA